CCTGCCGATACCAAAACCACTAAATCACGCGAGCTGTCATATCTCATAATCCTCTCCTGAACAAAACACCGGCCAACAACGTGTCCCCGTGACAATCCATCAATTATCTCATTTTCACGAGTACGATTATAGGTATATGTATATCTTATACGTGCGGATAACCGAAAAATCACGAGAGCCAGAGCAGAATCGCAGCTCGAGCGAGCTATCCATCAAAATCAACCGACGTACTTCGTTATTTTTCGCGAGAAAATCTCGACACTTCTTCTTCGTATTTGCGGGTATTCGTTATGATTGCTGCAGCGAAGCTCTTTTCTCTCTCGCCGCTTTCGTTTGGTTATTAATGATCGCATTTCCGTTTTTGGATTTCGCGAATTGATGAAACTCTTACGAATTGGTTAACAATGCAGGCAATGTCGTTATTTTTGCTAACAATGTCTCTGTCAGGCGTAGGTGAACTACTGCTTGTTATCTCTCGCCATAGACTGCTAATCATAAGAAAGTTAGTAACCAAAATAACAGAAATAAAAATCATCGATTCCCGTGATATTACTTACATTTATGTAACTGTTTGAAAGGCGTGGAGTTGGCTGAAAAAGTTCATCAAACTTGCAAATTTAGAGCTTTTGAAAATTCAAAGTTGAGTAGCCGAATGCAGAGCCGGTATATTGCGTTTTTAGCTTTATAACTAAAAGAGCAAAATTACCTTTATCGTCCGCTCTTCACCTCGCGAATGTACCGCTTGATCCAATAATTAAGTGGAGTTATTAACTGACCCAGTTTAAATAGCATGTAGAATAACTGCAATTTGAAGTATAATTGAATTTTCCTCCTTAAATATACAGTTTATGCACCCTACAACGGCGCAACTTCCATTTCCTTTCTTTCCTCGCGTAAAAACATTTATTCAAATTAAATAAAACTATTTAATTTGACACGCAGATGGAACCCACGTTGGTTTGTTAAATAAAAACTGCACCATCTATCTATATTATAATTATTCTTTGTTTTAGATATATCCCGAAACAATCCCGAAACAAAACGAAAAAGAAAATATGTGACTCGAAAAAATAGCAGCAACAGAAAGCGTATCAAAGAGAGCGAGAGAGTAAAGCCATGAAATCCGATAAATCAGCTGAAGGGCGAATGAGCTTGAAAAAATATTCGAGCGCACGTAGCAGACGACAAAAAATTCGAGCTTGATATGCATAACCATACGTTGGAAGGCACCACAAGAGAGGGAGAGACAGAAAGAGAGAGAGAGAGAGAGAGAGAGAGAGAGAGAGAGAGAGCATCGAAAGGGCTGGTACAATAGTGTGTGCGTGCTCGCACGTATGCGTAAGCGGATGGCTAATATACGGCAGTGTCAGGAGCAACGCTCGTAGCCCTGTTAATCAAAGAGAGAGAGAGAGTGGGCGGGGGAGGAGTGAGAGAGGGGGGGGGGGAGTTACAAGGCACTAGCTGCCCCCTATTGTCGCGCGAGCGCGTAATTCGCGTATTGTCGCGGACGATCGATCGGGTCACAAAATGCTCGCTTCGGCTCACTCTCTGTTTCAGTTTTTTCTTTTTTTTTTTTTATTTTACACGCGTGATTGCGAGAGAAATCTCTAGAGTACGCGCACACGAGCTACCTGCGCGAGGCTCCCTCGGCGCCGATTTGTTTTTCAGCTCGCGCGCGCTGAGTTTCCCCTCTCGGCTGGTTTCCGCCAACAGCCACGCACGCTCGTATGCACCATGGCACAGTTGCGCTTCGTACTTTGTAATATTTCACGTGAATTGTTCTTTTTCTTATCGGCGACTTCGTTTAGGTCGCACTCCGCGAAATCCGCGTTTGATGCGGCGAGCGCTGCTTTCCATTGCACGCACAACGCAGATGGGACTACGAGCAAAGTTGTGAATACATTGAATATTATAAAATGTTAATTCGAGATTTGGTTTTCATATTTTAAAGTCAATAATAATGCGATGCACATATTCCGGGTGAAAGAGAAAATCAAGTTTGAACTTGAAGCGGATTTGGGTGAAGATTATAAATTTATGTACGTATACCGTCGGATGTATAGTTACGATAAAATATTAAAATTTGTTGCAGACATTAATTTTCAATCCGGTTTAGCAAATCAGATTCATGAAACAATCATGAAACAATAATGATTTCACTTCGAGCGCATCACGCATGAAAAATCTGATTTATCAAAATGAAATAATGTTTGCATTTGAAATGATAATCAATCTAAGGGAAAAATCCATAAGATGAAAAGGAAAGAAAATAAAGTATCGCTTTCCCACTCTCTCTCTCTCTCTCTCTCTCTCTCTCTCTCTCTCTCTCTCTCTCTCTCTCTCTTTCTCGTCTGTCTTTCACGCTCGACTGGATCAAAGCTCCTCTGCCAAAGAAGAGCGCGTGCATGGCATACAGAGTTGCGTCAGACAGACGCGAAGCGTAAGTAGTTATTGCGAACGTCGGCGTCCCGTGCACTGGATTTAATCTGCGTAACCGCAGGCGTCTATGCGTGCACGTAAATTCCCCAACGATAAGCGTGCGGCCGGCAATGCTAACGAGCTTTTTATACGCGCGTGCTTTTTCACGCTTCTCCTTAATGTTCAGCGTACACCTTCACGCGAGCTAGTCACACCCTTGTACATCCTACCGCGCATTAAAAGCGTTATTAGCAGCGAGCGCTTTTACGCTTCCGGTGAATCGATTGCCTTTAACACTCCGCAACGTTCACTCGATTATTACACACGTGGCTGCGCGCTTACGGCAGACTTCCCCTCTTACTTATATCGAACTAACTTGATTTATTTTTATATTTCTTTGTTATGGCTGCCTGATGAGCTTTGTTCGACGATTGACTTTTATTAGCCTCAAGCTCGCTTTTTCACATCTCAGCTATATTGGCATTTTGCTAATGATCATACGAGCGGCGATTTATCGATTTTTACTGTGACTTACGACGCCTTCTCCTGCTACGGAATTTCATTTGACGAATCAAAATTGTGTATGATCATGCTCGAGTGTAATTCCATTCATAAGAACTACTTAACGAGGATGATTTTCAAAAATCAACACGTTTGACCATGGCTGTGATACACTTCATTACGCGTGATAATCATGCATTTCAATTCACTCAAATATATAACTTTTCGGTGATCCAACAAAGACCATTCTATTTTCCTCGACGTAACATTAATTTTTTTTAGTAAAAAGCACAAAACGAATTTCTCATTTGATGTTTGTTCTATTAGCAAAAGTGATTTTACACCCAACTTATTTTATTCAGAAATCATACTGGCGGCATTTACGCTTTATTAATTATACCAGTGAAGTATGAAAAAATCTGCAACAGTCCGAGCAACTGCGTTTCCATCCAAGCGAATTATCAAAAATATCCGTTCAATTAAATTGTCAAACGTCGCACGTCAATACCAACGGAATGATCAAGGGAGCAGTAATGCAGCATAATTGATACGAGCCCAAGTTGAAATAAAAAACAGAGCGAAAATAAACGCTACGGACGTCGGACGAGCGCTCGGTGACCCGCATCGCCGGTCGCGCAATTTCAAATCCAATTCCTAATATACCCGGGAGCCGTTTGAAGTAAGCATACGCTGTTTCTGTCCTTCTCTCTCTCTTTCTCCCTTTGCAGCACAAGACTACTAGAGAAAGAGAGAGAGAGAGAGAGAGAGAGAGAGAGAGAGAGAGAGCGTACGTCGCAAACTAATTTCCTCATCCTGTCAAGAGCAGAAACATCTGTGGCCTTCTGTAACTGTTTCTCAGAAAAAGAATAAACGTCCGCGCACTGCCATAGTGAACGCGGGTGTATACAGAAGCGTGTATGGAAAGCAGACTCGACCGCGTGAGCTCTTTCTACGCCTGGCCGGCCATTCGTGAAATGTCTTTAAATAATATATAATAAAGGCCTGTGCAATGCGCACGAGGGAGGCGATCGAGATACCGGGACTAAGTACTAATTATTTCCAGTGACTTTTATCGCGGCGTCGTGTACGTGCCATCGGACTGAAACTTTTGTCATTTCAAAAAAGGGGAGCTAAAGTCGCGTGCCACACATGTACTCACGCGCGCGCACACCACTAGATTCTTCTTTATCTCGGATGTCACGAACCTCCCGGAAATTCGCGAATAATTTTTTTTCTTAGACTGCCGAGTTTCATTGCAGCGTGAAATCCGACCTTTTCGACTCTTTCATTGGCGAGTTATGAGGCTGCAGCACGATGACGCGACGCGACAAATGAGTGTTTGCACTCGTCGATCGAACCAACGATTCCCGCGGGAAGCTTTGCTTTTTTGATGAATTTGTAAAGCTTTCCCCTCGCTCTCATCGCACCAATTTCGTGATTTCGCGCGTCGCGTTGGGGTAGAACGGCGAGAGGAAAAGTTTATCGATGCTCGCATCCCAACGATATTTAAAAAAAAAGAAAAAAGAGGAAAAAAAACAGAAGAAGCGTATACGTTGCATTTGCGATGGAAATTATGCCGTTTGTTACAAGTTCGCGCCATTGAAATTGATTGCATTGAGCGTTTGAAAATTGTCCGGACCGCGCCAACGATTGGGAATTCTTTCTCGATTGTGAAACATTCGCTGTTCAATGCATTGAGATTAATTGGAACAGTACATCAAAATGAAAATAATTTTACGAGGTGTTTGCTTGATTGATTGTAATGAATCTTCAGACTGTAACACATCGCGCGAAATTGTCAAAATCTACGTATGGCGCGCATTGAAATGGATGGTGAAGAGTTTGCGAGAATTTTCTTTCAATATTCATTATACGTAGCCCGGTTATGCCTCGATTATTACGTCGTCTTTATGAGATAAAATAGTCAATATTCGATTGCCGACAGACTGCTCTTCATTAAACCCAGTCTCTATAGAAGCGTTTATCGATGAATGAAGCTTTACGGAGGTATATCTATACAGCAACGCGCCACTTCAGCGCATGAGATATATAGAGAGCAGAACGCGCAACGTAATACTCACTTGGAGTCTGCTCGTTTCAGAAAAACGGCAGCAGCAGCCACGTAATAGTTCACCAGAAAACGAAAAAAACACTCAAAACCAAGAGTGTTGACTTTTCACTGCATTTCACAGGCACACTTTGCGGGGCGCGGAAAGTGGGAGAAAAAGGAAAACTGCTCTCTTTGCCGCCACTGTATATATGTTTGGCACACAAGTGAAATGGCACGCACGTGAGTCGCGTATTGATACGTGGCGACCGCGGGCTCCTCGCTCGATGCTCGCCGGCGCAGAACTGACGACTGCCTGCGCGCCACAACGTATCTGAGCTGCCGGGGCGGCACCGAGGGGGCGCAGCATCTCTCACTCACACTCTCCGACCAGACCATCTCTCGCTCGCTCCACTCGGACACTGGCGAATGGGGGGAGACTGATCTCCAACGCCACCATGCTTTTTGTCTTTTTGCAGTTGCGAAGGGTTGCTGCGCGTTTCACTTTGCTCCTTTTTTCTCCTGCCTTTTTTTACCAGGCCGCATGATGTTTGATGGATTATGCAACATCTTTCAAAAAGAGCACAAATTAATCGCGAGGTTGAACATTTGCGCGATTTCAAACGCTTACTTTGTTTGTTCTCTCTGCTGGAAAGCTCGAGAAATAGTTCGTATGTCTTCGACTTGCAATAATGTGACTTTGATGAAACTGTCATTGGCCTCAATTTTTTAGTATTTTTATTGGACTTACAAATACTATTTCAAGTATTGCAAAAGTTGAATTAAATTTGTGTCAGCACACGATTCTAAATTTTTTCTAATCAACTAAGTCACAGCACTTGAAATCGCACTGTAAGTTCTCATTAAATTCCATAAAATAATTTTCTAAATAAGAGAATTAATTTAATATCTTTGGGTTTTGAAGGGGATACTAATCGTAGTTGCATAAATTACAATTCCAGAGAACGTATACACACAATTCATATTTTTACCACATAGTAAAAGCGCACGCAATAACCAGCAATGGAAGCAAACAAAGTAACAAATGGCCTCTTACGACTAAAAATTATACATATGTATAATCTTTATCACACACAGACGTATATACACGAGGTCGCTCTGAAAACAAAGCATTCGTCCACTTCGCCATTTCAACAAGAAGCATGTGTTCGTCCCCGTGGAAAATCAATCTCCATGGAACAATTACAGAGCGAGAAGTAAAGTGTCGAGCGGTAATGATAACAGCGTGTACTTTTAATCTAGAACAATAATCACTTGGCAGCGGCAGCAGGCAACGAGGAAGTAAATAGCCAATGGGAATTTTGTTTTTCTTCCTCTGGGCACGAAGTATGAGAGGGAAGGGTGGCAGCAAGGCGCAGCATATAGTGTCCAGAAGCACGCAAGCCACCGGTAATTTTTCACGCAGACACACAAGCACAGACGCACACGTGACGACAGGTCTACGTCGTCAGTTAGCCTGCTGCTACTGCTGCTGCTCTTGGCTTCTGGTTAAGCTCGGCCGGCAGCAAATCCTATTTGGACGTACACCACGTCCGATAATCCGTGGACGACGTTATCCAAACGCTCTTCCTCTCTCTCTCTCTCTCCCTCTCTGCTGCTTCTTTTATAAAAGCTATTTTACCCGCGTTGCTCTGTTTATCGGAAGAGTGCTGCTGCTGTTTACGAGCGCAAGAAAGCAACGGCGGTGACGACGTACAAAGACCGAGAGAGATGCTCATGCATATTCGCGCTCGAGTTTTCTCTTTGCCCGAGATAATACTTGCCGATTTGCATGCTCTTTTTAATGTTAACGTAGAAAGCGAGAGAGAGAAAGAGAGAGAGAGAGAGAGAGAGAGGAAGATGGTCTGTGTATAATGCACGAGCCGCTGATAGCCTGTTAAGTCGGGCTTGAACGCTTCAAGCCGACCTTGATTGTGATCTCTCGTGGTTTATTCCGGCAGCTTGGTGTTTTCGTTTAGCCAGATCTGCAAATATCCAGCTCATTTCTTTTTCTTTCTCTTTACAATGGATCGCCTTACTTTTGCGAAACTTTCTTGTTTACAATTTCGTTTGACGCCTGATGGCGATCGATGCAATTTTCATGCTCGGCTACTGGATTTCAAGAGATCCAAGTTTCCCCATATACGTTCTTTGTACCTCTGATAAACCAATAAAATAGTTACTTGCAAGAATGTTATCGAAACTTTTAACAATTTTTCCCCGAAGTCGTCTTGGGAGAAAAAAGTTTGCGATTGTAAAAAAACAGAAAAGCAAGTTGTTCGAGCCATATGGACTGAATTCGTTCGGAGAACTTTCATAATTCGTGTACAATCTCGCCGAAAAAGCTCTGAAGCACCGAGTAAAAGCTTCCACGTTCAGTGTGTACATACGTAAGAAAGACGATCGCAATCCGGTGGTTAAGTGGTATCCAAAAACGGGGATCGCACGGCAGTGGCAATCGATAATCAATCGAATTGCTCTCTCTCTCCTCCGAAAGCTCGTAGTAACTTTTTGCGCGCGACCGCAAACGAATTTGGCTGATCTCGGGTGAAGCCGCGTGGTCAACCAAAAAAGCCTTCGATTATTCTCCGGACGTGAATTCGGCCCTCCCGGCGCTGTAAAATAAAAGCAGAACAAAAAAGGAACAGCAGCGGCCCACCAACGCTCTTCTCGATTAAATTGTGCTCTCTTTCGCTTCACGTTTAATTCCGACTCTCACTCGACATATTGATGAGTTAGCCGGTACGATGAATTAGCGCGATCTCGCGAATTACTTTTTCCTCGCGAAAGCGCGGTATAGCTGTGTTCTGTTTTCTGGTTTTTGTTTTACACCTAGGCGACATGTAAAATCCAGTCGCGTAAAAAGGAAAAAAAAAGCGGGGTTAACGACGCCGCCGCTACCGGGGCTGCGCGTAGAGAGAAATAAAACGGCGCGCGTCATCCGCTCTGGGGAGTCCTCCTGCTGAACGTGCGGAAATGAGACGATGCCTGCGCTCGCGCGCTTGTCGACATTGTTATATTTACGCGTTGTGTGCAACAATGGCTCAAAGCGAGACACGCAGTTCAGGAGAGACCTATAAATTCAACGACGTAGGCCCTTTCGATGGGCTTAGCTTTTCATGAAATTTACGATGCCTTCGTGCGCGCCGACGAGAGAGCCGTGCAATTACATCTTTTTTTTTTACTTCGCCACGCGCATTTCTCGCAAGGTTGCTCGCACTTCGAGCGATTCGCGAAGGGAGGCCACTTTGGTTTGACGAACGCTCGTTTTACTCGCGAGAAGCGACGCATAATTCAAGTTGTCACAGAAAAGAAAAAGGATCATTTGTTCAACAGACGTTTAACGAAGGCTTGCACTTTTAAAAGTAAATTTTACGTAATATGCCGTTCTTACAGATATTTTTCTATTTGCTCTTCATATTGCAGCGAACATTTTAAGTATTCATAAGTTTTCAACTATTGCGCTCAGCTAATATGTGATAATGCGCTTTTCAAGCTTTTACGATCCTCTTTTATTCATACAGTCACAAATTCATGGAAAAATGCTGTGAATTAAGGTCGCTCTCGGTTTATTCAGCTTGTTCAGTGTTATTCTCATTGCTATAACAATGCTAGTGAACGCAGTATTAAAGGTTTTCGCCTGCATTGAAAGCTTAACTATGAAAAGATTTATGTAACAATCTTCAACCTTTAACGAAATATTCTTTGGTTCAAGCTACTGAATATATTAATTTCACAGTCGCGGGTAATATACACCATGTTAAGCTCCTTTTGTACATCACCGGAGGGAAATATTATCTTTCCTGAAGCACACAAATTTTCTTCAAAGCGGTCTCTCTTCTCGTGATCTCACCTGTAAACAGTCGAAAATCCAGCGTCGCATGGTTGGTCGATCGGACTTTGCCGATGCATAATGCAAGCTCCCACTCACTCTCTCTCTCTCTCTCTCTCTCTCTCTCTCTCTCGACTGCCGCCGCGTCGCAAGCCCCTCTTCGTATCGCAAACAATGCCGATGTAGCGTTCCCGCGAGCGGTAAATGCCAACTCGCATAATGCGGCCCATTGTGAAAACGAGTTAATTTATGCCGAATTGTTCCTGGCCTACTGCACGCGCCTGCAGCCTAGTGGGAACGGAAGTCGCTTGCCGAGGGACTTGGCGTGTTTCCTCTCTCTCTCTCTCTCTCTCTCTCTCTCTCTCTCTCTGCCGGCTTATTTTGTAGTTTTGCTAAGTAAATACCTCTTAACGCGTTGTACATATTGAGCGTGAAATTCGCTAAGTTATATGTGGCCTTCGTCGTACTTTTACCTAGCTCTTTCTTCTGCTCGACTTCCAGTGTTCGGATGAAACTTGAAGGGGGTAAGCACAGTGAATTTCAAAGGCAAGTCCGTAATATCTTCAACTAGCGTCGGATTGATTTGAGTATCGCTACCAATGAGGGTAAACTGAGTATTCAAAGGTAACAATAAAAACTGCGATGTGGATCGACATGGATACTATTACTTTTCACGGTCACTCGATCGCCGTGCGGAAAAATAAACTCTAGACAAGTTTCATATCCGTTCAGTTTCTAAATTTTATAAGTTTGCCAGATAAGCTTGAAAATTAATAAAGTAATTGAACAAATTAAATGGCTGTCCTGCGAATATAATCGGGTAAAGAAATGGTACCGAATTTTACCTTTGAAGGTGCAGCATGTGCATTTGTTCAGTTGGGATTACTTCGAGATTCTGCTTCTAAAACTGAATTAGTTGTGAATGCGACTTAGAGTAAAAGATAATTTAAGATGAGGTATACATATATATATATATATATATATATATATATATATAGTTCTTAATGCGAAACTACTCTGTTGATTTTGAAGTGATTTAATACAAGGAGAAAAGATGACTTTCGCCAAATTTCCGATAATAACAAGAGGCAAGAAAAAACGACACTCTCTACCGCCGAGTCATTAAAATCCTTCCGGCAATTTCACTCGTTCGACTTACAACGCAGCAGCGGCAGCAGCTTCTAATGTCGCAACTGATTAAGGTTAACGGTTACGCTCGAATTGCCAGCTTGCTGGGATGCGCGCCGTTTGAGGCGCGGTGCTTTTAATGAAAAGTTCAACAAGCACTTCGAAGAGAACGAGAGGCAGAGCAGGGAGGAGAGAGCGAGAGAGACAGGCGGGCCGAGAGGGGGAAGTAACGGCACATGCATATTTCCTTGTTACTCGTGAGCTTTAAAGTCCGCGAGCGCTGCATTTTTATAGCTCGAGCTTTCGCGGCGCGAACGCGCTAGCGTAGCTTGCAACTGGATTCTTA